TTGTGGTGCATAGGAATTTGTTCATTCTCCCCCCCCCTTCAAAATATAGTCCGGCCCCCCACAAAGTCTGAGGGACAGTGGACTCCCCCCCCCCAAAAAAAGTTTGCTGACCCCTGGTTAAGCAAATCGGAAAAGCTTTTAAAGATCATTTGCTGCTCCTGCCTGAGGGGGTTTGTTTGGGTAAAAAGACAAAACTATAGTCATCTCATAGTTTATACCAGGGGTAGGAAACCTAAGGCCCATGGGCCGGGTCGTTTAACTGGCCCACAATCCGCCCCCGAACCGAGCCGCCCACTTGGTGAGTCTCCGCACGCTGCACTAAACCAGCACAGCGCGGGGACTCGCTTCCGCAGCACCAGAAATCGCATCTGCGCAGACGCTGGAAATCGTGTCTGTGCCGAGGCCGGAAATCACAGCAATCTGGCCCACAGAGGGATCTCCACTGAAGTGAACCGGCCCAGGCAAGGTAAACCTTGCCGACCCCTGGTTTATACCTTACCTGAGGGTTGGTTTCTGGAATTTCATAACAAAGAAGCTCTCATAGGGCCATTTTGGGAAGGGGGCTTTCTTGGTCAGTCATTTCCAAATTGCTACAACTGCTGGTACGCCAGGAGAAAAAGAAAAAAGGAAGCACCCTGCCCTGGCTCTGCCTCTTTCTAATCAGCCTCTGTTGAGATGGATAATTCTGCCTTGGCTGTACAGCAGGTGTGACTGGCTCATTCCAAATCGCTCAGAGAGGCAGCAGAATTAGCTGCCCTTAGAGGACGCTCTGTCTGTAAAGTTTCTCCATTCAGGCTGTGTGTTGAAAACAATGACTCCTGAAGAAACATGGGATGGAGGAAAGGTTCCTTTGAAGGCAGGCCTTCTAAAAAATGAAGCTATTTGAAGAGTTAAGAATGAAGTGTGCCCCTCAGTTCAATTCAGGGGAATACATGTGACTTGATTATTAGAAGTTTAGGAAGCACTGTTCTCAATTCCAGGAGGCAATTCCATTCACAACAGCAGGTTTTGAATCTATAGAATACTTGTTTGTAAGAGGATGGCATGTTGAAGTAACAATATGTACACGTTGATGGTTCGTAGCGATAATAATCTTCCCACCTATTCCGCCCCCTCTAGATTTCTGAAGGAGTACTGTGAAAGAGGCTCTTTTTCAGATTTGGATCTTATTGACAACTTGGGACCATCCATGCTGCTTAGTGATCGGCTGACATTTCTTGGTGAGAGCTATTTCTTACAGCCTCTATTGAAAAGGAACGACATGGTGCGCTGGGCGATGACACCACCACTTGAGGAAAGGGGACTGAAACTCATTTTGCAGTGCATGCGTGAAGCAGTGCAAATTCCACATCTCGGAACAACCAACCATGAAACCAGTTGTTACAGCCTTGCTTAGCTGGAGGACATAACAGTAGTCTTCTCATGAGTAACTAGACAGATTTTCTAAGACGTTTCCTCTTTACGTCACAAAGGGCATATTTGTTTTTTTTAAAAACCACAGGAAACAAATGCTTCCAGGTGTGGTAACACTAATGTTGCTGGCTTGTAGCTCAGACAACCACAGGAACGGATCCTTCCTCTGTGGGCCTTGCATCAGTGTGATGGCAAATTGAATTGAGGTTTTCTTATTGATAATCCAGTGGAGGTTTCAAGGATTCCAGGGAACTAATAATAAAATAGGATAACGTGGCGGGATCTGGCAATATGTAACTACTGATTTCTTTTTCTTAACAGAAATAGTTAGAGGGAATGTGACACAGCCTAATCATTTTCCCAGCCTGAAGGCACTTTGAAACTAGATAAATTAATCTTTCAAATGCCCTGGGTACAGAAGTGCAGCCATATAATGCTGAAGTTGGCATCAGGGTGAAATTGAAAACAGAAACCGTCTTTAACTTCTGAGTTTCTGCCTGTGTTTTCATGTTCTTATTTAGCTTCTCTAAAACTTTAAGGTCTTAGTAAGATTTTTTTGCTTACTCAATGAAAGGTGAGATTTTCAGGGCTTTGAAAGCTGGTCCAGTTTGCATCAATAGCTGCAAATACTTTTTTAAGACTCCCTGAGATGTAGGGATTGTTTTCTCTCTTTCTCAGCCTTTGCCATCCTGGTGACTTCCAGATGTTTTGACTGGCAGGGTTGATGGGAGTTGTAGCCCAAAATATCTGGAGGGCACCAGATGTTGGCAAAGCCTGCTGTGCCTTGTGGAAACAGTTCGGTAGCAATTGATCATGATTTGTTCCATTGACATGAATGGAGCTTAATTAATTTTAGTAGTTGTTGGTTGCAACTGCCTCCTTTACTGGATCGCCACCAGAAATCTCAGCTTCCCTAAACGACCAAGATGCTAGGTGGCCATAATGCAGTTTTAATGGCTCAGTCTTAAGAAATGGTTTTGCAAGCCGACGGTGTGCTACCCTGAAAATGTGACAGGGCTGAATTAATGTTTGGATACAGGGAAGTACCGGGAATTTCATCGGATGTATGGCGAGAAGCGGTTCTGTGCAGCGGCTAAGCTGCTGTTGACATTGATGACAGCTCGTATTGCTCCTTGCTCCTTCTGGATGACCTTACTGACTGATGCACTTCCGCTCCTGGAGCAGAAAGAGGCAAGTGTGATATTTCCGAACAGTAGAAATACCTGCCGGTGGTGGTGATGGTCTAAGGAATGTCCCCACTTTCCTGGGTAAACTAATCACTTGACAGGGAAGCATGTGACCCTGTGCTCCCACCCCAAGTAGCTTTCAACAAAAGCCCAGAGAGCTCCAGAGCTGTATGGTTGTGAAGATTCACAGTGGCAGCATATAGGCAGCCAACTGCACTCTGTGTAATTGCTAAAACTCCGTCTAGTGTTCGCAGGGGAGATGGATGTGTGACCTTCCTCTTTGATCATCTGCTTCTTCAAAGAAACAGACTCATTACTGAAAGAGCTTTAGCGTTCCTGCAGATGGGTTCAGTTAACCTTGATACTAAGCTGTAAGTCATGAAGTTTCCCCTGAGGTTCTCTGCCAATTTCTCAAGGGCTTGTATTTCAGTAAGCTGGTTAACTCTGAATCCTTTTCAGTTGGACAAAAATGGAAATGGTGCTCTACAGAAATCAGTTGGCCTTGGTCTACAGCACCCAACCATCAATTTGCAACACTTTCCCTAAAAGCCACAACCAGGCTGAGGAAACCAAAGTGTAGATATTCAGCTTTTTAATCTCATTGGTCACTGAGATTACACCTTTCACGTTTAGATGCATGACCTGCCACACATCAGTGGCTCGAAAGTCCACCTCCAGTAAATAAATGCTGGAAGAAATTGCAGGTGTATGAAGGTAACTACTGTTTTCCTCCAGGTGATATTCTCTGCCGAACAGACATACGAACTGATGAAATGCTTGGAAGATGTGATGGCAGCAGAATCGAAAAACCAGAAGCTCCAGGTAATCTTGTCCCAGACCTTGGCTTCATATCATACCTTGGAGGGAAACTAATTGGTCTCCGGTTCATAAGATAACACTAAGCCATGGACCTTGGCTTTTTGCTCCTTGGAGAATAAATAAAGCAGGAGTCACCTGCATGTTCACAAACTATTAACTATGTTTCACCATGATGTGTGAATGCAGCCTCGTCCTTTTCCTTGAGCCCTTGGAGAAGTGCAGAGGGCTCAGAAAAATGACCTGAGTTTTCTCTCACATGTGGTGTAGCTTGAGAAAAGGCTGAAACAGCAGAGGAAACATCTACTGATCCCTGCAGCCTAAGAGTGTTTATGAAAAGAAAGTTTTGGCCGCAAGGCAGTAAAATGGAAGAATTCATAGCATGTTACATGATGTATGGCTGTTTCTAGCAGGTTGGAACTTAGCCATTTTAGAACAAGAGAAAGAAACGGAGAGACACTTGGTTCCATTCAATCCTATTTTCTGTGACTGTAGTCATAGCCCCCTTGAAAGATGCTTCCACGTATTGAATGCAAACTAACAGGAAGCGCTTTCTTTCCCGACAGCCATAAAATAAAGCTGACAAAAGAATGCTTAGTAATGTGTAAATTGCAGCTCACATACGAAATATCAGTTTAAATGACAGTAGATTAGCATATTTCAGGGATGGGGAACCTCTGGCCTATTTTGGACCACCAGGAAAGCCACACACATCTGCCTTACACCTGACATATATGACATGAAGTGTGGGGCAGATAAAGGCAGGGCTTGGCCTCATTAAATGCTGTCCAATTTGGTGAACTCCTAAGATTCTTTGTGTTTGCAGGAGGATGATGCTGAGACCATGAAGGTGGAAATGCTGAGAATTGGTCTAGCACGAAACCTTGCACGAGCCATTGTCAAAGAAGGCACATTGGAGGAATCATGAGATCACTTTATTGGAGCAGCTCACAAACTTTGCGTCAATTACTTACTGTACATATCATGGCTGTTTTTTCTAGGAATAAATGTCATCTTTTGCACTTTTCTTTTTAAAATTGCCTTTTGTAACATAAAACAGTGGAAGAGCAAATTCCTTTCTCCAGTGAATTCAATGGAAATTGAGTTTTCTGCTCTCCTAGACTTCAACAACTTAAGATTACTTAAGGTAAGTAACCTCCTAAAGTGACCTAATAATCAACATCTAGATCTAGTCCATTTGATAATCTAAAACCAACCCAACTCTCCATTCATGCAGAATCGAGGAACAAAAATTATTTAAAACTTTTCTTACCCAAGAAGCAGCTTGTAATTCTAATTTGCAGGCACAGAAAATTTTCGGCGTCCTTGCTTTCCCCTCATTCCACTGAATGAAGCTGTGCAGCTCAGCTTTTAAAATAAACCACACAACTTTCATCCAAGCCCCCATCTCCTAAGTAGCAGCCAACCTGAACTCTGAGCACTATTTAATCACAGGGTGCTTCTGCTTTGTTGAAGGATCTGGTTTTATTCTATTGTTCTTAAGAGAAACAATACTGTGCGGTTGAGTCCTAGGAGGTGGGGGGGAACACCCTACAGTATTAACTGGCAGCAAGGCAGGTGAAGCAGAGTAGAGAAAGCAATTTTATTGAACGTGCAGAAAAACAAGTACTTCCGAGACATATTTACAGTCTTTTGCGTGTTTGGTAGGAAGCTGCAACTTCAGCCTATGAACAAGTAACATTCATAAATAACTTCTGAAGCTTCTAACAGTACATTTCCACACAGTGAGACGACGGGATCTTGCTACTGGGCTTGGACAGCATGGGTATGGCAGCACTGCTGACATTGAGAAAGCACTTGTGCTTCCCCCCTCCCCCCTGGTTTCCTCAGAGAGAGAGAGAGTGACTTGCTCATAGGCAAGCTGTAGCAGTGAAACCTGCTCTATAGATATGCTATGGCAGCTGGGCAGACTTGCTAAGCAAAAACAAGACAGCAGAGAGACTGAAATACGGAAGAGGACCAGATCAAGAGGCAGAAGAAATGCCACCCTGTTCTCAGCCGCTAAACATAGCGGACGCTTTCCTCCCAAGTCTCTCCTTTTGTTCATATGGACCATGTCTATCCCTTTCTGGACAGTTCCAAGTCTGTACACAAGTCTGAACCTTCCCAATAACTGCTGAAGCTCTTCATGCTGCAACAGATTAGGTTGCACTGCCTATAAATCCTTAGCCCAGTGAGTACCCCAAGCCTTTGTAGGAGACAATTGTTCCAGGTCGCCGTTAAATCTCTTCCGTGTTAAGTACAAGGTGTCCAGAAAATTAGAACGGCTGTTTCTAAGACTGGCTGAGCTTTTAAGAAATGTAATTAATTCAGCTTAAGCCAGATTTCCACCTTCAGATCAGAGTGGCAAGAAGTACTTAAAATTACACCTAGCAATTCTTAGCCTACTTGAGTTTTTAAATTTTTTCTAAACAGCCTTTTTTCTTCATAACCAAGCAAAATGATTAGTTCAGGACAACTGTTTTTTTGAAAGGATATTTCAGATCAAAAATAATTGTAGTAGATCAGAGGAAGTGACTACTAGACCCAAAGCAGTGATATTCACTTTATGGCTTACGTGCCATATGTTGGACTATTAGTCCGACTGACTCAACACAGGGATCTCCTCCTGGAGACAATTGCACTTAACCACTTAATATTTGGAATGAATAAAATACCATATAATCAACTCAGCACATGCATTGTCGTGGCTTCTGTTTCCCCTTATCTGTAGGTCTGGTGTTTTCCTATAGCTCTATGTACATTGTATAATTCCTAACTACTAATACTGCCTTTGAAAGAAGAATCAAGGTCTTAGCTGCATCATTTCCTACCTTTGACCCTGATCGACAGATGCACCAAGCTTTCTCCCCAAGCTCCCCACTTGACCAATGGACAAACTGTGCCTTTGTGACTCTCTCATAGTTTTTACCCCCCCCCCCATGGAATACAGCTGTTGAATGCTGAGGGAAAACTGACTGTAGAGCCATGTGCGTCCAAAATGTAGCAGCTGCCTAGAAAGCGCACATTGCAGAGTCAGCTGGAAGTATAAAATCAAAGGCAGCAGATTGAGAGCTATGTGTTTTTACGCTCACATGTGGCATGTATAAAATAATACAGCTTGTTGTTCACCTGTATGAGCTGTGCTGGCTTTTCGGGTAGATGTTGCCTTACAAAAGAAAACGGGCGTGTCAGGTCATGGCAGAAACCTGCCCTTGTGGAGCTTGTGTTTATTACCCAGCAAGCCTGCAGGTGGTCCTAAGTTCTGGCACCAAGGAGGTAAAAAACAAAACAAAAAACCGAGCACAGGAACATCTGTTAGGGCTCTGCCCCAAAGAAACTTACGAAGGCATCATAGCCCTTTGTAGACATCTGGCCAACACTGAGGGAAGAGTGCTCCGTTTCTGCTTACGAAGCTCACCAGAATGATCAGATTTCAAGTTTAGCAAAGTGGAAGATAGAACCGGATTGGCCAAAGTAAAGAAACCATCCAGGCCTCTACTTGTGGCTGCCTACACAAGTTCATGCTCTGTGTTCATGCCCCCAACTGCTTCACCCCAGAGTGCAGGAAACATTCTGGACTAAAGCTACAAGTGGAGTGGACAGGACATGTTAAACAAAGCTCAATATCGCTGCCGGATACCACTTGCGCCCTTTCCATTTCACATTCGTTCCAGTCCCTTTGGGGTGCCTCTGGGTCATAGGTTTCCCCACTGCTCAACCGGGGGGAACTGATCCACCTCCCCCACTTCTGTGCTGGGCTGGTCTCCTAACGCGAAAGTCAGTCGGTACCTCAGCCTCACCTTCTCCTGCAAGGAAGAAGGAAACAACATAAAGCTGCAGTCAAGAATACAGAGTAGAAAGACGGAGGAGCCTGGAACGAGGTTGGCGCGTGCCACGACGTTATCTGTGCACTAGCAGGGCTGAGCATTAGTTTGTCTGATACTTTACGAACCGGGGCAACGAATTGCTGGAAAGAGAATAATCCACAATTCCTATATCCAGTTCTGTCCAAAGTTGTAAAGCTGAAAAACGTATTAGGCAGAAGAAAAGCAAGCATTGAACATCCTTTCATATTCCCTAAGTGTGGCAGTAGGCAGAAAATAAATCTGCTGATACAACAGTATAATACAGAATTGTAGAGAGAGATACAGTAGTACCTCATTTTGCGACCGGGATCCGTTCCGTAGCCCCGGTCGCTGGCCGAAAAGGACGCTTCACAAAGTGCCACGTCTGCGCACGGAGTGGTTTATGCTTCTGCGCATGGTGCGATTTAGCGCTTTTGCGCATGCGCGAGCGGCAAACCCAGAAGTAACCCGTTCCGGTACTTACAGGTTTGCCGCAGACGTTCGACGGAACGGGTGCTCGACGAGGCGGACGCTAGATGAGGTACCACTGTATGTGTCTCTCCATCTTACAAGTAGAGCCGTAGCTCTAATTCTCAGACTATGGACTGTGCAACACAGCTATTTCAAGGAAGATGTAAGATGTGCACCAGTCTTTCCCCCTTTGAGAGTCACAAATGAATAGTGACTTCTGCTTGTGCAATGGTACCATGCCCCCCTTCTCCTGCACACACCCTACATTCCCCAAAATTGGCAAGGGGGGAACCCCCAGAAAAGTACACGGGGAAGAGGAGAACTGCCTGCCTGGCAGGACTGAAATGCTTTGCCTGAGGAACCTTAGTATGATGTTGAATTCCTCCTTTCAGATCAGTAACATCCTAGATTCTAGAAAACAGCACTTTTATCTTCCACCAGCAGTTGGCCGGATGATTATGGTAGCTCACCAGAAGAGCACAAAGGGTATGTAGGCTTCCCTATTCCCTGTTGTCACTTAGGACTCAAATTTTAACTCCCTTGGAACATGGATATCAGAGCAAAGGGGTCCGTCTACTGCAAGATCACTCTCAACTCTGCTCAAGACGACCATGAGCAGAAACAGAACATTTGATCTAAATGGTCTAATTGTGTAGAATATGGCAATATCCCTTCTCTAAGAAAAGGTGGAGAAATTGTGAATGCAAGTCTTCTCACCTTCCTTGGATTTGCCAGCAACATGACCTGGGTGATAGCAGCTGGTGGCTGGATGGGATTGAACGGAGCTAGCTCTGTCCCCGAAGGTGGCTGCAACTTCACTTTCATGGACTGCGGATTAAAAAGCAAAGGAGAAAATCTTAAGAGAGTGGTGGTTTGTGCAGAAATAATAGTCATGTTGCATCACTGAACACAAATATATTAAGGGAAGCGGGCGTGTTTACTGAGCACTGACTAAACCATAAAAGCAAATATTTGTCTAGTGGACTTAACCGGATGGAGACACTAACTGACACCTTAATTCTAAACTCACTACATGAATGCAAGCCCCATGGATTTGGTGGAATTTAATTCCACCCAAAGATGCTTAGGGCCAAGGCCTAAGACAGTAGCTTGCAACAACTACCCTGTAAGGTTGCAGCAGATAAAATATGCTTCTCCATAGAATCAGCTGGAAAGTAAGTCTGGTCCCAACCGCCTGACCCAGCAGGATTTGCCTGGATGAGAAGCTCTTTTCTCCAGCAACAAGAGGATGCTGGTCTCTTCCCCTATTGGTGCTTGAGAACGGCCATCTTGGTACCTTTGGCACTGCTGCTTGTAGCACAATGTTCTTGATGGGAAGGGGCGCTGTGTTTAACATTGAAACCACCACTACCAACACATCGGGCCGCCCAGGGGGGCACTCCTTGGCAAAATGCAGGAGGATGCGCAAACCGTTCTTGTCATAAGCCGTCACTGGAAGAGCGCTGCCTGCAAGGGGGAGAAGGTGCTTACATGACACAACAATACAAGTGAAATCCTGGGAGGGCACTGGGCTATGCTTGGAATGCCGGGAGCTGCGTTAAGATAATCTGCAAAGCCTCTATTCTGAACAAAAGCGTCATCTCTAAAGTGGATGCTTATGAGATGGTCCCTAAAAGTAGGTGCAAAAACCTCCTGACTTTCATATATTTCTGTTTGGGCAGATTTTGCCCCAGAGAGAAATAAGTCCACTCCAGATACACCACGTCCAGTCCTTGAAATGTTAATTATACACCTTCCTTAGATGTGATCCTTGTTCCAGCCTGGACTGTATTCTCGGCAGGAAACCTGGGATATTGCACTGTAGTCTAACCCACACATCCTGCTAGTACCACTAGAAGATAGGAAGCAATTTGAGGCAAATGTGAAGAAGATGTAGCAGGTGAGGCCAACACAGCTGGAGGCTTACAGGCTCCCCATCCCTGCTTGAAGCAAATACTGGCTAGCAGTTTTCAAAGCTTTTCCTTTCAACCATAAGATCGTTGTCACACTAAAAGCTTGAGGGAGGGGCCTAATAGGGAGTGGAATGGAGCCGTGCAGAGTTCCCACCCCCCCCCACACTCCTAAAAGACTTCAGGACAATAGCTTGGGTTTGTAAAAAAATTATTCCTAACTCTCCAAATTATGAAAATAAGGAGGCTTTGATTGATTGATTGATTGATTGATTGATTGATTGAATTTATATTCCGCCTTATACCTGGTGGCCTTAGGGCAGCTCACAGAACAAGACCAAAACACAAAACCACTAACTATACAATCAAAATAAAAACAAGACCCCAATAACCCCCCCCCAAAAAACACCCAGATTTTAAAAGGGCATGAACTAAATGAACTGAAACATGCAATCCAGTATGAGAAGCAAGCAATAAAAAATATTTGTGATGCCTACTTGGTTTAATGGACTCCAGTGGGACGTGAACGTTGCCCAAGGAGATCTCGGGTCCTTTCAGAGGACTTCCTTGCTGCTGGAAGGAGGCTGGCTGGAAGAGGGGGCTTCCTGACCCGACAGGGCAGCTGCCTGGATATGGAAGTGGAGGGACTCCTGGAGCTGCAATGGGCAGCCCTGAAGCGGATGTAAGAGGTGCAGCAGCAGCAGCAGCGGGCAATGCAACTCCACCAGGGAACACAGAGGTGCCTAGGTTTGCTTGAGCTGAAGGTCTGGAATGGAGCGGAAAACAAATGCAGGTTAAAAAAGAAAATGAATGCAAAGAAACATATTGAATGTCTCTGGTACCTAGTCTGCACCTACCACCCCCACCCCCGTCTGCTCTGTATAAAGCACTTGGAGTGAGCATGTGTAACTGCTCCCTCCTACAGATAGCAATGGTCCTTTGAAAAGCCAGTGTTGCCCACCACTGCCTGGTTCTGTGCCCTGCAGATTGATGGGGCAAAAGAAGAAATGAATGCGTTCTGCATTAACATGGGGAGGCAGAGTACCTGCCTGCCAAAACCCCTCTAAGTAAAATCTCCAGCAGCATGGCAGTGAGATGCCACAAAGGATGTCCATGTGGGGCAGGTACTTGGCTCAGTCAAAAAGTGTTTGCTGGCCCCACCGGTCAATCGATAGCAAAGCCCTGTGCAAAGTTACCCACATGGCTATCGGGCCTCTCACTTCTTTGCCTTGCAAGACCCAGCCATCAGCTCATCAGTTGCGGTTTGTGGACTGTGCCTTTGCTGGCATGGCTGCATTTCAAACACGGCATGCGAAAGGCAAAGTCATTGTGATCTCAGGTGACCGAGAGGTGGGCAGCCCTGGGGTGTGGGAGGAAATAGTGATCTGGCCAATTGGCCAGATACAGTTCCCTGCTCCTGAGGTAGAAGAGGTGTCCAAATCTTCTGCCCTGGGGCAGAAGCATCCCTTCATTCAATCTGCCCTTGATGTACGGCAAAGGCGGAGAATCTGCAACTCTTCCCATGTTAAGATTACAGGTCCCATCATCCCTGACCACTGGCCATACTTGCCGATGGAAACTGAAGTCCCACCTAAGAGCCAGGGAGGAAAATCTGATTCATAGCAGCAATTATTTCCAAGCAGAAAGGAGGAGAAAACCTCACCCTTTGCTCTCGTCCAGATGTCCTATGGGATCCATGTTGTGCAGATCACCACTTCCCATAGCAGAGCCCAGGTACCCAGGGGCACCTGACATTGCACTGGACGGTCCCAATGGTGCCGCAGCAGAGAATATGAAAGGGGCTGAGGTAGGGGCAGGCTGCGGGGCTGTGAATGTGGAGGCAAGAGAGGCTGACGTTCTACCCGTGGGCTGTGACAGGGCAGGGAGAAGAGGTGAGTTACAGGCAACGGAAGCTGGTTTTGGGTTCAAGAAGTCCAGATCGACTGGTTCATTCTGCAACGGAGGAAACAAGTGAAAAACAGTGCTTTGCAACACACTGATAAATGTTTGACTTTCCTCCCGTTGTTATTCTCACTTGTTTTATTTTACTGTTTAGCAGACACACAATGACTGTTAATTCAGAATTTTTAAAACAACACTTTAAAATCAGAAAGTCAACAAAAATGTGGCCGAGACGTATAAAAAGGTGTCAAGTAAATGCTGGAAACTTAAGCAGATAAAAGGGTCGTTCCTCCATCTGTGGTGGACATGTAAAAAATTGAAAGGCTTTTGGGAAATGATAGCTGGTGAAGGCAATAAGGTATTAGTGTAACTGGCATAATGCAAGCATAATAATGAAAGTCGGGGGGTGGGGGGTGGCATGCCCTAAAAGGGAGTGAGAACTTAAGGCCAGAAGCAGGACAGATCACAAAAGGCACCACCTCATTTCAGTCTAAGAAAAGCTGTTGAAGGTGCGTGTTGGGAGAAAGAGGGAAGCTAATTTCTCCCACTGGGAAAGGCAGGCTTGTCTTTATTGGTACAGTACATCCCCTCATGATATTACAAGCTAGAAAATGAAAGCAATGTTCAGCCCGGGACAGATTAACATGCATTACCAATCCTCTGGCTCACAGACCTTCAAAAAAGGATAACATCTTGGGAGGGCAAAATTATTCACACTGTCAAAGTGCAAAGTACCTGGAACATGTTCCATTGGCTGCTCTCAGGAGCTTCTTTTGCTGCAGTGGGAGCCGGGTCATTCAGGCCTAAGCACAAAACGACATTTTAGGGAACAAAAGGAATAGGCAAGCAAAATGTGTAAATAAGGGAACAATCCCAGCTGAACCAACATTAAACTATTCAAGGGATTAGTGCAAATCCACCCTCCATATGGTCACTTCTGAACTTTGCTCCATTCTGACTGTAAGGCAGATTGATTTTATTATGTAACAAGCCAGCGGTAAGCGAGCTCTGCATTCTATATCATTCATTCATTCATTCATTCATAGTTCCAGCGGTTTTTTAAAGGAGCTACTCAAGGGTACACAGTACCAGCACCTCTTTGTTGTGGCATTTACTGTAACAACTTCATGGTGAGGACCGGCACCTATTTTTCTAGGGGGGAAAGCACTGCTTGGTACTTAACATGCCTCCTTTCAAGGCAAAGCCCTCCCAAGGCGGCATTCAAAAGATAATTAGGCTTATACTCTGCTTCCTGAACATTTGTTGTTGTTGTTGTTGTTTAGTTGTTTAGTCGTGACCGACTCTTCGTGACCCCATGGACCAGAGCACGCCAGGCACTTCTGTCTTCCACTGCCTCCCGCAGTTTGGTCAAACTCATGCTGGTAGCTTCGAGAACACTGTCCAACCATCTCGTCCTCTGTCGCCCCCTTCTCCTTGTGCCCTCCATCTTTCCCAGCATCAGTGTCTTCTCCAGGGAGTCTTCTCTTCTCATGAAGGTGGCCAAAGTACTGGAGCCTCAGCTTCACGATCTGTCCTTCCAGTGAGCACTCAGGGCTGATTTCCTTAAGAATGGATAGGTTTGATCTTCTTGCAGTCCATGGGACTCTCAAGAGTCTCCTCCAGCACCATAATTCAAAAGCATCAATTCTTCGGTGATCAGCCTTCTTTATGGTCCAGCTCTCACTTCCATACATTACTACTGGGAAAACCATGGCTTTAACTATACGGACCTTCCTGAACATACTAGAGCTAAATCTCTGGATGTTCTTGCTTTCCCTTCTGGCGGCTTCACCAATAGCAGCTGGCTGCTGTAAGGAGGGGTGTGAGGCACGATGGAGGGGTGTCCAACTTCTGCAACTTCTCAGATGGTGCTCTTCCTCCTGTTCAGTATCTCCAGAACAGGTAAGGCTAGATAATCTAGTGATTATCTAATGTTTATTAGATGGATTTCCCCTAAATTGATTTCTGAACTTTGACTTTTGTTGTTATTCATGTTTTTACACTGTATTTTATGCTGCTTTTACAATTAAGTATTTTAAATTTGTTGTTAGCCGCCCTGAGCCCGGTTTTTGAACCGGGAAGGGCGGGGTATAAATAAAAAGTTATTATTATTTATTATGGACATGCCACTCTCTGTAGCTCTCAGTGATAACCCAGTCCAGTAAATTCAAGTGGAGGGACTTTTTTTTATTTCTTTCTGGGGAGGTGTGGTGGGGGGCGTTTTCTGAACAACAGACACTCAGCAAAAATACCGGCAAACCTGTGTGCAGCAGCTACTTAGCAGTGCCTCCCACCGAAGACCTTAGGAAAAGGCGAAAGATTTGTATGATCTGAAGAGAAGCCAGAAACCTTCCACAGCCAGTGCACCCAAACCACACCTGCCTTACCTAAGCATAGCAGTTCCTCATCAAGCAAAGAGATGGAATTGGCCGAGCTCGTCAAGAGAGCAGAAGTGGCTTCTGCCTGGCTCGATGAACGACTCCGGGAGTGACCGATGGTCTGAGGGGGAGGTGGTAGGATGGGGATTTCTGACGAGGCTGGAGCTGGAGTTAATGTCGGTGCTGGTGTCAACGTCGTTGGGGGAATCGGTGGTGGCGGAGGCGTACTAGAAATGTCCAGTTCCGCCAAGTCAATGAGTGTACTGATGTTAACGGAAGAATCACTTCCTACAGTGTTGAGGAGAGAACATAAAATAGGGCAACGGATGCATACAAACAATATAACAATATAACATATCCAAATCAAGGAGGGCAGTGGTGGTGCAAATGCCTAGATGCTGCTGAGAATAGCATCGGTTTTCAAATTCTCCAGGCTATGCCTCCTGTAGTAAACCTTCAAACATGAACTGCCGGTCCCTCAAGCTTCCATGAGTGTGCACACCATTATCTTCAAGATACCCAGGTCCTAAAAAGCGACCACTTTTGCCCAAATTTCTTGACCGGCACCCTCACACAGTGTTCAAGTAGACACAACGGGCAACACCCAGTGATGTCCAACTCCTTCCTTAACAGAAACCTACTTGTACAATGGGATGTCAGATTCCTGCTCTCCAGAGTGGATTTTTGAGGCAGAGGGAGGAGAAGCTAGAAGCCTCATTGTCTTGAGTGGCCATCTCACCCAAGGGGCCAGGTTTCATTTCTGAGAAACTGCTGTACTAGGGCAGAATGTATTATGAGTTCTTTATGTAGGTAAAGTTCACCTGGATGGTTAGTCCAGGACTCTACCCAAAGAGGGTACAATATTTTTCTTTTTTTAAAAAAAGGACACAAAGGAAGGGGAGGGACATGGAAGTAGGAGAAACACTCTCAGACTTTATTAAAGTATGCCTCTCTGTGTAAAAAAAGAAACAGACTTCCCCTAATTTCATTAAGACGTTGAAAACAGACTTTTGGCTGCATTCAGCTCTTTCCATTGATAGTATGAACTGAGAACTCTTGGCCATTTCCTGGGCAATTTCTTCTCTCTCTAAACTTAAAGAAAATTATTGATTGATAATTAACAATGCTGCGATAAACCCCCATATTCTGATGTAGATCAACAGGGCCACCTGGGATTCTTACCCCCTGCAGTTAACCCTAAATGGTGAGCTATTCTCCTGCAATGTCTCTGAATATATATATGCTCCACTTAAGCCCTTCTAAACAATGGCCTGACCGGTCTGAACTGGCCAGGCCTTTTGTAATGTAAGTTCAGAGTAGTTAGGGAGGCTCTTGGCAATTTTCTGGTTAAGAGATTGCTGACATCAGAGATGGGGCTTATTTTTCAGCTGGAGCCAAACAATGATCCCCATTAGAAAGGAGGCAGCTTTTACCTGGCTCAGATTCCCATGTGAGCGTTTACTCTCAGTCTTTGTCTTCCTGGAAACCTGATCAGGAATGCAAAGATGCTCCCTCTTAGAACCTCTCAGCTAATCAATGTCTGTTACCAACAACTAAACACCAACTTAGCATCACCTGTAGCTTTCTGCATTTAATTTCCTTCTGACCACCCCCCCAAACCCCCATATGTTTCTACACTCACCTATAACTCAGGATAGCATTTCATGAATCTTCAATGGGGATTTAGTGCAGCTGGGGGCCCCTCTTTCAGCGAGCCCCTTTGAAGGTGCACTTTCACGGGCAGAATGTTTTTGAAGTGGCTCACCTTGAGCCTCGCTTTGTCTGTTTGCAGGTGCAGTTTGAATCCAAACAGGCCTGCAAATGAACTTCAAAGGGGCTTGCTGTTAACGGCTGATCAGCTGGCATCATAATAATGTCAGGTGACTGACAGCTGGGCAACCGTGCCCACCTGTCAAAGTTAGCCTGCAGAGGGTGGAAGTCAGGATCCAACTCCCTGCCCCTGTTGTAAGTCAATGGTTTCACTCTGGAATCCTTTGTTCAAGAAAGGCGACTTGACAATCATGAACAGAAGGTCCTCGGAAGCTGAAATGTTCTCCCTCTCCCCTCTGAATATGTGCCCTTTCTGGTGCCAGTTTTGCATACACTTTTTCTTTTGCATAGAGGCCTCTTCAGACACTGCATATATATATAAAGGTAAAGGTACCCCTGCCCGTACGGGCCAGTCGTGTCCGACTCTAGGGTTGTGTGCCCATCTCACTTAAGAGGCCGGGGGCCAGCGCTGTCCGCAGACACTTCCGGGTCACGTGACCAGCGTGACAAGCTGCATCTGGCGAGCCAGCGCAGCACACGGAACGCCGCTTACCTTCCCGCTAGTAAGCGGTCCCTATTTATCTACTTGCACCCGGGGGTGCTTTCGAACTGCTAGGTTGGCAGGCGCTGGGACCGAACGACGGGAGCACACCCCGCCGCGGGGATTCGAACCGCCGACCTGACGATCAACAAGTCCTAGGCGCTGAGGTTTTACCCACAGCGCCACCCGCGTCCCTGCATATATATATAGGTACATAGAAAACATTTTATCTATACCCATAAATCATTTCTGGGTATATGTGTCAGTGTTAATCTCAGAAGGAGACCTGTGGAGCTCCCCTATGAAAAACCACTTTCATTGCAGCTGGCCCTGTACAGATGGATCTTGAAGGAGCAAAACATATCCATGCTGAGATATCCTGATTCCACCCCCACCCACTGCTTCAAAGCACACTGTATGTATCATATAAGCAGACTGAATCATCTTAGAATTGCCATTTCTCTAGGATAGCCCTGTCTTGTCTAAAATAGAATGATCAGATAGTTGTAAGAAGACACCAGCATCCTTTTTGGAGGCTTAAAGACAATTGTGTTGCCATTGAACTGGGGCTAAAAGTCTCTGCTAAATTCTTCACCTTGGGATTTGATTACGGTGAGCAGCAATCTAGAAAGGAAGAGTTGTTATTTGTAAAAAGACTTAAAAATTTAGAACAAGGGATTAGGAAGTACTTATGTATTGTAAGTGACATATAATTTTAAGATTATACAAAAACTGGGAAACATGATATTTCATAGAAGGGCCGGTGTTGCTCCTGAAAAATATGACTCACCATCTGTTGGAGGCAGCCCAGGAATATCCACTTCACCATTGACGACTTGCCCCTCAATAATTCTTTTATAGGTATTTATTACGCGTGATAAGTTGTCACTAGCCTGCAGGATGTCGCCTGTAGCGGAGACACAAACAGTAAACTACCAATGTAAATAACTTCATCTTCAGCAATGCTTTCTCAGGCTAGGAACGGGACCAGCTCATTTGATTTAATTCATTTCCACAACAAAGAAATCCACCCACCCCTAACAGCACTGCCTTTGTAGGTGCTGCGGTTATATGCTTCTCTGGCTTTCGCCACATCAATTTCTGCTATCAATATTTAGGATTTATGTACACAAAGGAAGATTTGGTGGTTGGGGGAGGGCCATAGCTCTGTGGCACAGCCCTGGCTTTCCATGCAGTAGATATCTGGTTCAATTCCCGGCATCTCCAGGTACGTCAGAGAGAAACTCCTTTGAGAAGCTGCTGCCAGCCAGTGTAGACAATATTGATATAGATGGACCAGTGGTCTTACTCTATATAAGGCAGCTTCCTATGATATATATCTGATATTCTAAGCAACACCACTGACTTACCTATACGGATTAGAGATTCTTTTCAGCGGACATTATAGGTAATATCCAGACTTTTAACCACCTATTAAGGCAAAAGCATGTCCCAGTTTACCTCCGGTCTTGCAAAGAAAAACTTATTGTTTTACCCAGAGTGCTGTCATTATCCTCTGTCTCGCTGGCCAGTTTGAATAACGTCCGCCTCTTGGTTTCACATCTGTCATAGAGCTCCTGGGGAAGGGTGGGGAGAAGGTGAGAGATAGGGGCCAATGAGTCAAAATGGACACGTGCAAGCCTTTGTACTGAAACCTCATTTAAAGGGAAAGGTAAAGGTACCCCTGACCATCAGGTCCAGTCGTGACCGACTCTGGGGTTGCGGCGCTCATCTCGCTTTATTGGCCGAGGGAGCCGGCGTACAGCTTCCAGGTCATGTGGCCAGCATGACTAAGCCGCTTCTGGCGAACCAGAGCAGCGCACGGAAATGCCGTTTACCTTCCCGCCGGAGCGGTAACCTCATTTACTTATGCACAAAAGCCCAAGGCATCACCACTGCAAAGGCTTGGCACAAGATTTCGATACAACATTGGTGGTCCAAGATGTGGACACTTGTGCTAACAGAAAAATTGATGCAGAGACATTGAGTCATAAAGGGTGAAAGCAAGAGAGATATATTTGCCAACACTTTTAAACTTATGTAGCGGGTCAGAGAGTGCTGTGCAGACACCGCTCACTCAGAAGAACTTCTAATTGGCATTATTACTGAGACACCTTTTCTCCTGAATTGCTTCTGGTGCCTGAAGAGCAGTTGGTGTTACCTGAGTGTAAACGACCGCCTCTGGCTATTCCTCTTTCATGTTGGTGATAGATGTGCACTGTATTGTTACAGTTATGCATTTTGGGTTGTTGTTTTTAATGTAATTAACGTACCCCAATGTTGTATACCTGGAAATATCTTGAAAATAACCAGTAATCATTAAAAGTCTTGTTTGTTTTCCTCGATTGCCTTCTCCTTAGCTGAGTGATGCTGTCAGTTTGCATTTCTTAGTGCAGAAAGTATTGATCTGATGTGTAGAGATCTTTCTTATTCTAATTCATTCAAGAGGTTTCTGGAAGCTTCTCTGTATGAAAGAAGCTTCATGATTGTTCAGGTTATAGAGAAGCTGAGTACAGCTGGCTTGAACTGGTTGTTTTATCTTTTCCAGTTAAAGTCATGTTGACTATAAATATAGGCCAGAAGGAGCCTGGGTTTTACTTTCTCTTTCTCTCTCCTTTGTTCTGGTGTCCTGTTCTGTATGCTATAGTGTTAAGATTTAGTCTTATGATACATTTTTGTAAATTTTATTGTAAGTGCTGCAACTCGATTTTTATGGACTGTGCCAACCCTGAATGCACTGGATTTGTGACCATTATGCTCATTTGCCTTCAATAGAAGTAAATCTCTGCTGGATGAAGTACAATTGCTTCTGGTCTATTGTTTGGAAACTCTGCTATGTGTTTAAGTTTTTTCCTCCCCAGAAGGAACTGGGGCGACAGATGCCTGCACCTATTTTTGCAGGGGAAGCTGGGCTATAAAATTCCTTCATGTTGGGAGATGGAAGTCAAAAGAAAAGCAGAGGGTAACAAGCACTCAAGGTTTTACCAGCAGAGAACTCACACTCACCTTCATCAGCTCTTTGTCAGCCTCCGAAGAGTCTTCTTTGCTGTAGTGAACCAACATCTCATTCAACAGCTTCACATTGTTGTTCACCTCCTCCAATGTGTGCATGCGCTTTGTGACTTTCTGTATGCGTGCCTCATCCTTCAAATTTTAAAGCAAAAGAGGTAATATAAGTCTTTCCTTTGTTCTTCTGCTACTGTCCAGGACAAGTTGGCCTGAAGAATCCAGAAGTCTGGTTACTTATCACCAGTGGTTACAGAATTCTGTCTACAGAGCCCCTACCTTCTGCTATCAAAATAGTCCTGAAGTTTTGACTTCTGGGGATACATTTGCAAAACAGGCAACTCTCAATCCATAGTAACAAGACCCCCCACCCCACCCCACTCCTTTATTCAGTAGGATTTACTCCTAGGTATGTTTGCACAAAATTAGGTAAAATGGTAGGAGCAAATTATATATTGAACTAGAGGGGGAAAGGGATACATAGATCATGGGGAGAAACAGGAAGCCATGGGAAATGAAGCGAGGATGACCAAACGAGCAGGAGAACAAAGCTCTTGTAACTGGAATCGTTGCCTAGAAGAGGGGAGTTTTGGCAGGTGCAACTCACTTTGCAAGAGTGAGAAAAGGTACACTTGCCCACATTCTCTCTTCCAGGCAGCCATTAAAGGCACAGGTGCTCTTGTCCTTCTTTGCATCTGGTCTCCGCAAGAGAGGCCTGTTAACCCTGAACAACCAGACAACTCCTCGCCCCTTCTGCTCCCTAAGCCTTTCAGAAATGCTGCTTGCCTATTTTCAAAGCAACTTTCATGCTTTTCTTTGGGGAAAAAATGCAAAAGGCCAATGTAAGATCAGAGGAAATCAGAGACAGGAATGTCATACCCAACAAGGACAGCCTATGGCACTAGAGGGAAAAGGAACGTCTGTCCTTGCAGCTTGTACCCCAAACCCCATCCTAAGCACAGCTGAGTTAGGCATGCCTAAGCCCACCAATTTCAATGGACGGAAGCACATTTAGTTCTGCACAGCGCAGGGCTGTGACTGGGAGGATGAGTAGGAAAAGGACTAGGGCATCGGCAGCTATAAGCAACCCCAAGGAATACCAGGCAAAGTGGGGCTATAAATCACTGAGCAGCTTTTCTTAGTTTACTATGCAAACTCTAATTGCAGCATCAAACCTGGGTAAGAACTTGGGTTTCGCTCAGGAAGGAAACCAGAGCATTGTTTACAGACAGCACGGATATTCAGGTCTTCTGACATTATAGCAGCCCAATGGTATGGCTCAAATATTCTAAAAATGCTTAAAATGACAAAACAAGCCCCAAACAATGATCACCCCTACAGATATGTTGATTAAGTGCTCAGTCTCACCTCTTTCACCATAGATTTAATAAGCTTGTTTGCCTCTTGCAAATCATCTGGATTTTTGCTTTTTAACAGTTTAGCTAAAAGCTGCAAAAAGGGAAAAAAACTTTTAGGAAAAGTGTTTTAGGAGTGACAGAACTTCTCCTGGTTTTGCAGATTCTCAGTCGAGGAACTGATACCTTATGCTTGTGTTAACCAAGTTTTGATTTGTCTTTGAAGCACCCAACCTTTGGCACTCTGATCATGAACACATTACAACAGAAGTAGGAAACGTGGATGCTACTGGAACGTACATCATATGAATTTGCTCAGGCTAGTGGTTTCAGTGCTCCAATAGGGGAAGTCCATCACCAGCTACTTCAGAATCAGGACCGGGGTTGGTGGGAGCCAATGTTGGGCTATACTGGTCTGCCCCAACCTCAGCACGGTTGGTCCAGAGGCATTCTATGACAACTACAGCTAGGGATGAGGTTCATTTAGCAAGAGGAGTAAGACAAGAAAGTGCACTTTAAATTACTCATCTCAGCTTTAGAGTGTCCATTTGACACCCACTTCTATTCCATCCTCTCTCGAGACAGCAGCAGTCTACAGCAATAGTCCTTCTGGGTTGCATCCAATCCTGTGCATGCAGCGTTCTATTCACGCAATGGGACTTCCCCTTCCTCTCCCCACATATCCTCAAAGTCTGCTCTGGAGGGTGAGGGTCTGTGGGGAGCTGCAGGGGAGAGCAGAAGAGGGAAAAGTTCCACTGTGCAAGCAGAAAGTCTGTTGCAATAGCCAAACAACAGCGCTGGAGAAGACCCACAATGTACAGAAGTGCTGGAATCTACACCATGTTCCAGAGCATGAGCCGTGACTTGGAAATCCCTCTTCAGGCCTAAACTCACTGAGTGCTCTAGGTGAGTCACTAACTGAGAGTATAAGCTCTTAAGTTTCGCTCCAGTGAGGTGGCAATGGTAATCAGAAAGGGACTGGAGTCAGACCAAACATAAAATAAATTGGAAATATCTATTTAAATCAAAGCATAGGAATGATAAAACTATATAAACTCAGCAATAACTAGAGTTTGAAAATGTGTCAATGGAATATAAGAGCAGTATATAAATGGAAAAAGAATATTAACCAAACAGCCACCAATTAAGCATGCACATTACTAAATCCTAAATTGCATCTTTCCAAAACTTCCACCAGTCCAAACTAGTTAAAAGATTTTTAAATTCCCAGCCTTAAATTAGTTTAACTCCTCTCTCTCTCTCTCATATCTGCAAATGGGGATAATAAGACTGGTTTACTTATAGGAGTGTTGTATGGATGACAGGGAAAATGAAAGTGGAGCTCTTAAGTCCTTAGGGAAAGTGCTGTACAAATACCTTTATTATTATTATTATTATTATTATTATTATTATTATTATTATTATTAATTTGCAAACTTCATCATCCTCTCCTGTTCACATACATACACAACATGTCTTACATTTTCTTCAGTGAAGCCATGCAGGGCTTTCCCAGACTTCATTTCTGCTTCATTTTTTTTCATAGTTTAAAGACCATAACATGCTCTTGCCCTCTCTCTTTCAGCAAACAGTAAAGAGAAATTTAAATGAAGCTAATCATAGAATTGTAGAGTTGGAAGCGACCCCTAGGCTCATGGCTGGCTAAAGTCAGGCGAGTATTCCTGAGAGATTCACTGCTACTCTACATGCAGAAGAGGCGAGTCTCCTCCGCCCTCAACAAGAGGCAACAAGGAGTTAAACACATTTTGTAAGATACAAAAGCATTTGTGAAAACTTCCAAAAAGTTAAGTTGTCGTGCTACAACACTCGTGAGAAATAGGAACTACTCAAAACATTTGAACCTTGGACATTTAAAAAAAAACTATAGCAAACTAGATTGAGGGGCGGTGGTGGTTTAGATCTTTATATTTGCTATCCTTTGTCAAGTGCTAGAAGATGCCTCAGCTGTTGCCAAGTTCTAAGAATTACAGTGCTAATTTTTGCAGTTAGCTTTACCTTGGATTTCTCTTCATCATCAAACACAGGGTTTTTGGGACGAGCTGGAGGGGAGGGGATTAGGGTACTCTCTGCAGGAATTACAGGGTCAGACAGCACAATGCCTGGATGCAGAAAGGAAGAAAAACATTGTCACTCTTTACAGGAAAGCTCTCTGGGTTTGCTTGTTCACTGCCAGTTGCCTGCACGCACAAAAACCAGCAAGCTCTATCCTATTAAAGCCATCTTAATGCATTGAACTAGGGTCTGCTACCTGCAAATGGAGCTCTTAGTGCACTGCCATCTCAGATAAAGAGTAAAAGGCTACAGTGCCGTATACAATTAACAGACAAGAACCAGACACTGTTCTGAGTCTCATTCCTACTGACTGCCAGTATGCAGCTCACCTGCTGACAGGCTATGATGGGCTTTTCTGTCTGCAGCTGAACTCCTGTAATTCACTTTGGGATGTCTTTAAGACTTGCTGCCTCTCATGATCTTGTAAGCCCATGTTTGTGCCCTTGAGCGTGTGAGCTTGCCCTGGGTTCTCTTACTTGCCTGACACTTCCTGATTATCATGTGACCTCAAACAAAGCATTAGGAGCGAGGGACAAAGAAATAAGCAGCTGGTGTATGGGTTGGAAATCAATGGTAATAAAATAGGCAGCCAGGGCCATAATCATCACAGCACTGAACCCTACAGCTCAGCTAAGATTCTGCAACCGGAGGGATAAGACAGCATGACTCTTGATCAAACTGGTTCACTGTCTAGGTGTGCAGAAGCTACTACCTCTGAGGTCACAAAATTATAAAGTGTTGTTGAACAGCAGCTTAAGGAGTGTATGAAAGGCTGAAGAAGGAAATTGTTTCCCACCTTGTCTTTTCAACATGTAGTAGGCGTCTTTGATTTTAGACTCGTCTGGCAGAGCCACCGTCCAACTGTACAGCAGCTCAATTATTTTGCTTTTGACCTTCTCTGACACTCTGTCTCCCAGGTACTGCAAGAATAGCCAAGAAGGTGAAAGATGTTGGTTTCTCTGTCCTCACATAAAAGAACCTACTTTGAACCATTAGGTATGTGAGTTGTGGGGCAAACAATCCTTCAAGAACAGTTTCTGTGTCTTGTCTGAGAGATACAGGCTGTGTACATATAATATTTTACTCTAGAGTCCATGAAGACTGAGTACTTGTTTTTTCTATGTAGTCCAAACATGATTTGGAACTGCTGCATATTTTTTTGCCCCTGAAAACCTCTTCTTGAGAAATTGGGTCTTGATCTGAAAATACCGTACATCTTGATTTTGCAAGTTTGATTGTGTCCATTTAAAAAGAAATGAAAATGGATGTAGGCTGTCCCAGCAAGGCAGGGATGTTGAGGACAAGCACGATTCCAGACTGAGAAAAACTGCACTACTTGTGCTACGAACAGGTTAGTGTGTACATAGCCACAGTCTCAGTCAGAAATGATTGTTGGTTTGTTTGTCAGTCAGTTGAAGGTGCTGTTAAGTACACCAAAAAATGCAGTCCCAGCAAAAGAAGAATGGCTACAAAAAACTTATGGGATATGCAGAAATGGCAAAACTTACCAGAAAATAAGAACTCAAGTTAACAAAATTTTTTATAAAAGGATGGAAATGGTTTATTGAATATTTACAAATAAACTGTAAGCAGATAAGAACAGTGGCAGGATTATTGTAATAACCTGACATTTTATAAGAGTATATATTTAAAGAAGATGAATAAATGAGCAAATTAAGTTGATCTGGATATGCAGAAAGTATTAAAAATAAATTTAAGGAACCACAGAAGGAGGGGGAAGGAAGTTGAGTTTCAAAATGTTAAAATGATTGTAAAATTACTGAAATGTATAGAATTGAAAATCATAAAGAAAGTAATAATAAAAAGTACATCAAGAATGCTTTCCAAGAATCTCTTCAGGGAATGTGAGGGCTTTGAGATGAAAAAGCATACATTTTTTTTTTATTTACATCCATTCAAAACAGACTTAGATGTTTATCAGTATCTGAATGTGGCTGATTTATGTCTGTTCAGAAGTATCACAGAGTTAAACGTGAATTACTCCTAGATCAGACAGCACAGATTTGTAACCCAACATTTTTTGTTAATTTGAACTATTTTGGGGTTAATTCCTCTCTGTACAACACCCATGTCTATTTAAACATGTTGGACATTGTCCCCCAGCTACTGAAATAAATGGTCTAGAGAAAGTGAGGAACATTCTGAAGTGTGCGAATGTTATTTATTTACTGACAGCTCAGCTGATTCCAGTAGAATCCGATGCACAACATGTTTTATGGATTTAAGCAAATGAGACATAAACAAGTGTAGAAAAAGCAAACCATACTAACCTTGGGAGACACAACTTTAATTAACTCATTTAAAAAACGAAACTTTCCTACTTCGTTGTGAAATCTTTGCCCACAGTTCTTCATGCAAGCTTCCAGCACCTGCAATCAAGTAAAATGCACATATACACACAAGATAAATCTAGGTTTCAGGATGGACCTATCCGAATAGAGATCCCTAAATTAGTCACAGGTTACCTATGAAACCTTCAAACATTATCTGTGCCTTCAGGGCTTGGCATAAGGTAAGACTCCCCCAGGAAACCAACCCAAGTCCCCTGGTGATTTTCTGCTGGTTACTTAAATATTGGACTGTGCACTTAAAACAGAACCTGTTTTTTACAGAAACATTGTACAGTTGTACCTCAGAAGTCGAACAACATCCATTCCAGAAGTCCGTTCGACTTCCAAAACGTTTGGAAACCAAGGCGCGGCTTCTGATTGGCTGTAGGAAGCTTCTGCAGCCAATCGGAAGCTGCAGAACCCATGTCGGACATTCGGGTTCCAAAGATCATTCACAAACCGGAACGCTCACTTCTGCGTTTGCGGCGTTCGGGAGCCAAAACGTTCGACTCGTAAGCTGTTTGACTTCCGAGGTACGACTGTACAGGGAAGATAATTAGAATTGTCATTGTGCTAGTTGGCCCTTACAACTGGATGTCATGTCTGCATAGGAGACTACCTGTGCAGACCCCAACAGACACTGGTTGAAATTATGCTGTCTGAATACACAGACAGTGGGCAGAATTTTAAAAACAGAGTTAAAGAACACTTACAGTCAAGGCCTGGACTGCTTCCCATTCCTGTGGTGACTGGATTTTATGAGCCAGCAATCTCACGGCTATCTGTGGACTGAAATCATTCATTTTTTTACTAATTTATTTATTTACTTGCTTATTTAATTAGTTAGTTAGTTGTGCTGTCTGTGTAGATGATGCTTTACAAAGAAGGAGAGGACAGAATGGTTCATACCTCAAGAAGATTACAATCTAGAAATCGACACAAAGGAAGCAACGAAAGCTGGGTTAGGAAACAGAGGCAGGGGTAAACAGGTGAAAAACCTTATGTGATTCAAATGACATAGGCTTCACTTTTGCAGCTTAAAAACATAAGCTACAGTCACATTTTTCAACATTTTATCTGGAAGCATACCCTGAAGAAAAAAAAACCCTTTAAAACTTCCAGATTTTAGGAGGGGCCTTCCTGTGGAACAAAATTGTCTACGTAAAATCTCAGCTGCCTGTCCCTATATAACACTTTCACATTAAATTAACACTTTAAATTAAGCATCAAAGCACCCAAGGTTATTTAAAATTACTTCTACAAAACCTTGGAATGGGGTTTGAATTCTGGACACACACCCTTCAAGTTCTTTGTTGATCTGATCGCAGAAGCCAATGATGTACTCCCAGTCTTCTTGCCTATTCAGAGGATTGGTGGCTTTATCTGGTGAATAGAAACACAAGCTTGTTAATCCAAGATGCACACAAAAGGCGTCTTGTTTCCTCAGGACAGGGTAGCGCTTGAAAATTAGTACACTCTGCCACCTTCTTCTCATTCACTCTGAGAAATTAAAACCTCTCCTGCTGAGAAACTGCACACTCCTTGACTTCAGCACACGTCAGATCAGTCAAAATCCGAGTATCAAATGCTACAAGTTATGAAACCGGCAGAAAAATAGTGTGAAGAACGTATTACAAAGCCAAGTTCTAGAAAGCGAAGTAAACAGCCATGCATCGTTCCCCTATTTGCCATTTTGCTCCACGTTTTGCCAATTTATCACATAACGAACTGGCAAATCCGCATTCAGTTTTGCTCTGCTGAAACACAGACTGAGCAAGGAAGTCATTAAAAACCTAAAAGCATCTGACACAAACTGTAACATTCCAGGGATCAAAGGCTTAGTCTGTAACTGTATACTTATCAAGGGTGCAATCTAAGCAAAGTGAGATACTTTTCTCCCACTGATTCCAATGGAATTTCAAGAGCATTGCACTTCATACTAGGAAGGGTACATGGTAGTTCCGACTAGAGCACATCCACACCTTCCATTGCCTATGGAAAGTTCTTTCCACAAGAAATAAAAAATTTCACCTGACACCTGAGAGAAGAGAATTAAAGCAATGTTAGCTTCTGCATGTCTTTTTCTGCTTAGAAGGGTTTTTGAAGCAAGTTACTTTAAAGTATTTTGCAGAGATCTCACCTATGAACATACCTCTGACATTTCAGTGTGGGACATATTCAACACCTGGGACCTGAATATTCACAGTGGTGCTCACATTTTCTGTCTTCAAAGAACCCTTTCCACATGAGCTCATCTGCCAAGAAACACCCGTACTGTATATCTGCTATGGCAGTTGCTCATGTTGCTGAGGTTTGGAGAGCATGTCACACACTCAGTTTGCATGGGGCACTGTTGCCTTGCCTGAATTGAGAATGCGCCCCAGAATAGCGGGTCCCCAACTCCCCCCAAAATCACCTGGAAATGAGTCCTGTCAGCAGAAACTCTGCACAATAACTTTTGTTTGCACAGGACTTTCTCCCCTTCTCACATCCGGGGGGTCAGTGTGGGTAGAATCCCCCCCCCAAAAAAAAACCAGTGTGCGGGGAATAGAGGAGTAATTGTTCCATCCAGCAAGCTGAAACACTGTTGAATTCTTCCCAGTAGGTTTTCTGCCTGTTGTTTAGGAATTGTAATGCACTGCACATGTGCCATCTCTTAGTTTATTCCCCTCTTTCTGGCTACTTCCTTCCTTCCCATATATTGACTCTCCGCTCCTTCCAAGTGCCTTGTCAACCCCCCTTTCCCCACAAAAGCCAATGACAGAGCCAAATAATTCTGGTCTTGCTCCCATTCTCCACCCTGCTAAGTTCTACAAGGGCAACACAGACTACTAAGGAGGAGGAAGCTGACAGCTTGGGCCACATCTGTAAATAAGAAGGCAGGCAGGTGGGAGTTGGCCAAGGGCATATTGATATGGGTGGGGTAGTGCCCCATTCTCCCTAATGGATCAGCCTCCACCAGTTTGCACCCTTGCTTTGTACAGTGGTACCTCTGGATGCAAATGGGATCCATTTCGGAGCCCCGTTCACATCCTGAAGCAAACACAACCGGTGTCTGCGCGTTGCGATTTGCCGCTTCTGTGCATGTGCGTGACGTCATTTTGAGCGCCTGCAGCAAAACCTGGAAGTAACTTCCAGGTCGCCACAGAGCGCAACCCAAAAAGGCTTAACCTGAAGCGACTTCAACCCAAGGTATGACTGTAGTGGGTACTGTTGTAGTAAATAGTGTTGTACTCATCAAAGGCTTTCACATTTCTGATTGGAAGCAAGAGCCACCATTTATCACACTAAGCCCTGCTTCTCAGATGTTTTCCCCCTCCTTTCCCCCAGCTCTGAAAGCAGCAGATTGCAGAACACGCAAGGTATCACGACAGATTTGCATTTCATGTTTCATCTGCTCCAGATAATTCAGCTCAGAGACTTTGCACTGTGCTACCTTCCACAGAGATACCCGGTTTAACCTAATTTCTATAGCAAAACTGACCAGGGCAAAATGTGAGAGAAAGAAATACTGTTCATTCTAGGGCAGCGCCATATGTGTCGGCACAAAGGCAGCATACACAAGCCAAAGATGATTAACTAGTAAGAACAAAGAACAAGGAGTACAATGAACCAAATTGTTTGGGACATCTTCACTAGGCCTGCAAATGCAAGCGCAGAGGAGCGCTTGACTTCATTCTTACATGCCGTTTTCTTTTATTGGGATCCCCATGGTCCACTAACATCTTTTACATTTACAAAGCAAGAGGGCACATTTGGGAACCCTTCACAGTCAAGGCTCTAATCTGTGTAAAGGATTCATAAATAGTCAGTCTTACGAACACAAGTAGCACCTTGAGGGATCAGACCACAAACCTGAGGCTTTCTCTCCCACATGTACACAAAAAAGCAAGACCTCTGAGGGAAATTTTCTGTATAGTACAACTGTATCTTATGCGGGGGTTCAATTCCAGGGGTTCTGTGTGTATACAAAAATCATGTACTGTACATCCAAAAACATTTGGGCCTCATGGCTGTTAGATGCCTATACAGTGGTACCTCGGGTTAAGTACTTAATTCGTTCTGGAGGTCCGTTCTTAACCTGAAACGGTTCTTAACCTGAAGCACCACTTTAGCTAATGGGGCCTCCTGCTGCTGCCGCGCCACCAAAGCATGATTTCTGTTCGCATCCTGAAGCAAAGTTCTTAACCCGAGGTACTATTTCCGGGTTAGCGGAGTCTGTAACCTGAAGCGTATGTAACCCAAGGTACCACAGTATGTGCAAATATTGTAGGAATATAATGTTTTAACATTTGAAAAAAGAGAGGGCCAGATTATGACCTCACTTCCTTACTATAATAGTCCCCAAATGAAAAAGGTTTTACACTGCCACAATCAAAATAATAAGTACACAGCAGGCTTCATCTCAAGAAACTGAACTTGGCATGTTCCATTCTAGGGCTAGAGCACCAGCAACCTAGAGGATGGTACTTCGTAATTAACAAATAAATAATTCTGCCACAGTGCAACCCCAGGACATTTGGTGTCAAAACATCTGGATCACATCTTGTAGCAGATCAACACAGCACTGCTCATAAAACTTATTTCCACTCCCCTAAACCAAAACATTGTATATTCCCTATAAAACCAAGGATGGCTACCCATTCAAACACAAACTTCAGGAAACAGGGAATCTTTGCTAGTAAGCAGCCTCATATATTTCTATCCTCTGTAGATTTTTACATTACACCCACATGCTCTTTATGTCCCCCCCCTCCCAACTCGGAGTTCTGGGGGAACCTGTCTCACAGTTTGCATGCCACATTTAGAGACACTACCTAGTGGAGATGATTCAGCTACAGGAACAGCAGAGAATACAAAAGCAAAAGAAGATGGTTGTGTGGAGCAACTGAGTACTGTATTCCAGGTTCAACCATTGCTTTTTGGCTAAAGGCAGGAATGGGAGCTCAGGCAAAGACCATCCTATTATGTTACCTCCCAAATAAGAGGGGATAATTTGTTGCTGGGTCATCACCTGTCCAACCGCAACATCAGGACCGAAGTATCAGGTTGCTGACATGGCTTTCTCACTGTGTTGACACCTTGAAGTCTCATTTGAAGGCAAAAATAAAAATAAAAATCCATGGCATGGATGAATCCTCTCTGCTGTGACTGGGGAAAACATGAACCACTTCCCAACTTTTCTTGTAATTATTTCCTGTCTTTGTTCAGGACCTACGTCTTGACAGCGTCTCCCCAGAACTGTTCCCCGAGTATATTTATATTGCTTAGTTTCAAATGCACTTCCAGCTAAACTTTCAGCAGCCTGGAATCGGGAATTCTGCTCTGTCCTTTCACTTAAACATTTCCTTCATAAATATGGGGATATATTCAGTGACTAACTGCCCATGGGGTTAATAAAAAGAAGAGGAGATGTGTCGCTGCAAATCCTTAATACATACATAAACATCATTTTATTAAATTGGGCAGAATTGTTTTCGTAGCAGGAAAGTGATTCAGTAAAAACTGAATGTATCAGAAATGTATTCAGCAGCAGGAAAGTATTTACAATACAAATAAAATCCTCAGCCTCAAGAATATCTATAACACTACCCTAATAATTAGGAATACACTAGGTCTTTCACAATAAGCTTCAAAAAGAAAGAGCTACCTGTTCACTAGGGCACAGTATCTTAACATATTCATGCTATACCATATAAATAAAATCAGGCAAAGCATTGACAGACCTCCAGCTCAGTGTGGTCCCCATTGTGCTGAACAAATGGCTTTCCACGCCCAGTCTATAAGAAGTAGTTCAAAAGATATTGGTGATTTCACAGGCTCTTCCATAGAACGACCTCTGTGATTCAATGATTATATTTACAATATATCTCATTTGTATCTGTTCCTCCAAAGAGCTCGGGGTGGCACACATGTTTCAGTGCTCCCCATTTTCTATTTTATCCTCACAACAACCCTGCGAGGGAGGTTAGGCTGAGAAACAGTGAGACTGAGGTCACCCAGTGAGATTGGTAACCTTAAAGGTAAAAAGATAAATGGCAATACAGTTCATTTTTTATCTTAAATCGTCCCACTTCTGTTGGTAAAAAACAGAATATCCACTTTTGACCTGTAAATAATAATTCTTAAGAGGGGTTCTTTGAAACTCAAGACTTGGGTTCTCATTTACCAGATAATGATCCAGCAAATGGCACTGCACTTCTGCCGTGCACCTCCTGTGACGGAGGTGGGAGGGGATGTGTGGCCCTCCATATGTTATTTGACTCCAACTTCCATCATCCCTGACCTTTGGCCATGCAAGTTGGGGCCAATGGGAAGTAGAGTCCAATGACAAAAGATCCCTGCATTGCGGGGGTTGGACTAGATGACCCTAGTGTTCCCTTCCAAGTCCATGATTCTATAACTTCTGGAACGAACCATGTTCCCCATCCCTGTTCTATGCCTCCTGTCCAGCACAGCAACATGACTTTAACAAAGGCGCATTGAAGAGGTCACCTGTAACAGCTAACTCTGAAACAAAGTATGAAAGGGCCACTGTGCATTAGCGGAAGTCCTTGTGCAGGACTGATCCTGCAGGAATGTTCTTATGTCTTTTAACTTGAAAAACATTTGTTTCCTTCCACATAAAACATTAATTGAGGAATACCGTAACTTTGGTACAGACTGAAGAATATGTCAGAATACAGTTTACTTAGAGAGAGGAAATGGAAATGGAAACAAGCAGAAAAATGAGAGAAGGGAAGAGAACTGCTCTTTATAGCTAAGGGAACCAGTTACTTAGTAGAATGCACACATTTCACAACCTTTCTTTTAGACAAAGGAAAAAGAAATGAATCACTGGTTAATGGGGCTAGACTTCAGGCTGTCTGTGTCCACTGCAATTGCAGCTCTGGGTTTCTGCTTAGATGTCTCGGTTTGAGTGCACTGCTCATTCAAGTGCACATGTTGTTGTTTTTCTGGATCCATATTGGAGACGGAGCTTTTTTATTTGCGGGGGTCAAAAAGCAAGACCTAGCACCCAACTCCATGCAGAAACAAGCTGGGGGGGGGATAACTTTCTTTGGTGCATTTTTTTCCCTGGGGGAGCTTAGGAGCTGTAGAATTTGAAAGGAGGAAATGACCAGGAAGTGAGTAAGATGGAAGAGTTCAGGCAGAGACAGGCACAGCTGCAAGGAGAAGCATCAGCTGAGTGGATGGAAAGAACACGTACAAAGGGGGTGGCTACATTTCTTTCAGTAAATGGCAATTCCCCCCCTCAAAAAAACCCTAAATCGCGGGGGGGGGGGGAAATCACCTGGGCATGTTCAGAAACAATGGAAATTGATAATAACAGCAATGTACTGCAAGAACTATTTTAGGAACTGGGAGATAGCCCTATACAGTAAAGGACCTTTACAAACAGAAATATATAGCATTGTCTTCAGGTACATGAGGCAGTCAAATCTAGTGTGGTGCAGGGGTTGCTGAAATTCACTGAGTATCCTTTGGTCAGTCATTGTCTCTCAGCCTGACCTACCTCACAGGTTGCTGTAGGAAAAAAAGAGGAGAGGGGAGAATCACGTATGCAGCCCTGAGCTTCTTGAAAGGAAGGTGGGCTATAAAAGCAGTAAATGAATAAAAAGACACCTAGCTGACATAGCTTGTAACCAGAGCACATTACAACACACCCTGGATGCTACAAAAGGAATACATTAAGTGTCCCATTTACACACAGGAAATGGCTACTGCTGTATAACTAATTACCAGTTATGAAATATTTTAATGTTAGGGTGGAGAAGAAGTATTAGATAGAAGTGATACAGCCATAGACTGGACTCCCACAAATGATCAGGGAGCAAACATTGCTAATGAATATAGCGCATTTCCAATTTTCATTGAGTGTCACAAACATCTGAGTCATTCTTGCAACAGCCCTTTAAGGTAGTCAAGCGCTGTTATTCCCATATTACAGACACAGTGCTAAGTCTGAGAGATAATGGCTAGCCTAAAGACACCTAGCTAAGTTCATGGCTGAGGTAAAATTTGAACTAGGCCCTACCAGGTTCATAGCTAGCAGTATACTGCTTGGGTTACGATTTCCTAAAAATGGAGCACCAACTTTATAAAAAAGCCTTGCAAAGGCAGAGGCAAGGTTGAACAGGCATGAGGAATCTGTATGGTCTTCTCAAAAGACCACAAAGCTGTCGAATAATATCAACAACATGTACACTGTATAAAGCGATGCACAGATAGACACAGACAACAGAGAAGTAGAGTCACCTTAAATGGAACCTGGAGGAGTAAGGAAAGCAGAGCAACATATGGATTTCCAGTCCCTGAATCATTAAATGCCCAATATTATGAAGTCAAGAGAACCTCTCGTCATAAGCTATTCTATGGGCACAAGAGAGGGGTAGGGCAACCTACGGCCATTCAGATATTGTCAATTTATGGGCCCCAACATCCTTCACTATTAGCTATGCTGCTTGAGGCTGCTGATGGGAACTGGGTGCCCAACAACATCTGGAGGCCCACAGGTTTCCCACTCCTGGCATAAAGCGGGCAATGGGAATTGGAAGCATTGGGCACAAATCTATAGCCAGGATGGACTGGGTGGGCAAAAAGGTAAGAGGCACAGATTTGGACAGAGGCAGGTGACAGCCACAGGTAGGGCGGACCAACACAGCCATGACCAGCAGGGGCTTCTTTGACCTCTAATAACTGTGTAGAAAACGAAATGTTGGCCGGACCAATATGTCAAGAAAAGCTGCACCATCCTATTTCCCCTCTCAGATAGTTAGGGGCACAGAAGACGCCCTTTGCGTCTGGCCCTTCTGGCTTTAGCCCTACATCCTCTGCCCCAGGTGTTTCTCCCCCCCCCAAAATACCCTACATCTCTGCCCCACCACCGTCCCCCTCTTTCCTTCTCCCCATCTACCTCCAGACCTTCCCTTTGGGGTGTCATTGCCTCTAAGGAGATCCAAGCATCCCTCACACCCCACCATTCCCCACACCCCGGGGCTCCGGGTGGGGCTCTCTCCTGCGCCCCATGGCTTGCTTTCCCGGCCCCGGGGGGAGGAGGGGAGGGCCGTGCTACCGGCGTCCGTCCCCCCCCACCCCCCTTGCTCGGCGGAAGGGGAGAGGAAGCGGGTTACTCACTCAGCCAGGACTCCAGGCTTTCCCCTTCCGCCTCCGCCATGTTGCCGGCCGGCCTGGAGACTCCGCCCCGCGCTCCGGCGACGCCACAGCCCGGCCGGGCCCGGCCCCTGCGGGGGAAGGAGAGGAGAGGATCAGCACCTCCACCTCCTCCTGCAAGGGCTAATGCTCAGGCTCTCGTTGTTATTTTACTGAGCAGGAGATCGGCTCGATTTAAAAACACCCATCAGCTTAATAAATCATTGCTATTGTTCAATCATCGTGACCCTTGTTGCTGTTTCCTCCCCGTTCCGACTTTTCGGGTCACCTCCTCAAAAGAGCTTTCAAAAATAGGTGGGAACATTCCCCCTCCCAAAAAAATCTCCATGTCAGAACTCTCTTATTTCAAATGCAGTATAAAGAATTTCCATTGCTCTGCAGAGCTGCAATATTCTGCAACAAAATGCAGCCTTTTAGGACAGCCCATCAATGGCACCGGAGCACAAAATTCCTGTTTCTCACGCCTGTCGCACTGCCTGCACAGTCTTCGTTTCTTTAGACTTAGCAATACGTTGAATTTAGCGGGGTCGGCATTGGTTTTGCACAGTGAACTATACAGTGAGATCAGTTTCCGAGCCTTTGCGCGGGCAAGGGGCAGCCTGTTTACGCCGCCTGAAGAAGAACCGAATAACGCTTGCGCAACGTTAAGGAAATAGCAACAGCGTGGCTTTCTGCCTGTCTTTTTCTTGCAAAAAGCTGCTATGCAAGAAGCCTGACCGGTGTGCAACTGCAAGAAAGCAAAGCGACCTTTTTTCAGGCAGTAGCTTTGGACAGCCCTGGGTGGGGTCCTGGGGAGAGAAGCAAAATGGCTGCGTCCATGGTGGAGAAGCTCGGGGCAGCGAGGCAGCGGCTGTGCGGCTCCTGGAAGGTCTGGTTGCCCGGGTAAGAAAACGGGGGACCGACTGGGTGGGAGAGGCTCCGGCAGAGCGGCTGGGAGGATTTGGATCGATATTGTGGGATGCAGATGCTCATATCTGAGAACTGAGCTCGCACCCTGATATCACTCCCAAGAGACTAGAGCATCCTGGGTTATCCTTGCTGCGCCTCCAATGAGTCGCAGTATTGGGGAGAGATTTGTCTAGCAAATATCTCTAGTTGAGAGAATCAACTGCAATACGGAGCGGCACAGTAGAACGGTAGATAGCATGCCCGTTAAAAGTACGCCCGTGTTTATGGTCCACGCCTCCTAAGAGAACAAGAAATCTCATTTGAAAGAAAAGCTTATAGAAATCAAGAGATTATGTGCATGTATTGACACTCTATGTCCTTTTAAAATGTGGCTTTTTTGGAGGGATGTTTTTGGGTTGTTTTTATTTTGATTATATATATATATATATATATATATATATATATGCAGGTTTTGGTGTCCTCGGGTGTCTTCCCGTGTAAAAGTTGGGGTGTCTAGGCGACGTTTCGACGAGGTCTCACTCGTCATCTTCAGGCTGGTGCTTTCGGCTTCTTGTTACTGGAACAGAGCAGGATCTCAG